ATATCCTGGTCAAATGGCTTATCTGAGCATTCAGCACCTTTCACCACAATCATAGGAAAAGTACATCTTTACTAACAAGAAGAACATTTTCTCCTTTAAACTGACTCTCTATTTATACTTACTTTTAAATTAATTGTCATTTGGGACTAATTTGTGTTCTCTGAAAGTTTACACGCTGAGGTCCTAACCCCCTGTACTGCAGTATGTGATTGTGCTGAAAAAACAGGGTCTCAGGTGACAATGAAGTCACTAGAGAGGAATCTCATCAAGTATAACAAGCCTCCACACAAGAGGAATTGGGACCAAGATAGCTACAGAAAAAAACAGACCAGATGTGGTAGCAATTTAATATTTCAACTTGTCTGAGCTCTAGTGCTCAGGTATTTGAACAAACATTATTCTAGATGCTTCCATGAACATGTTTTTGTATGAGATTAACATTTAAATAAATGGATTTTGAATAAAGCACATTGCCCCCACAGTGTAGGTGGGCCTCATCCAATCAGCTGAAGTCTGAATAGATGGAAGATATCTCTTCCAAGCAAGGAGGAATTTGGCCAGTGGATTGCAGTAGACTCGACTGTGACTCTTCTTTGGGTCTCTGCAGATTTTTGATGTCCAAAGCTCCCACAATCATGTGAACTGATTTCCACTTCCTTGAAATGAGTATCTTTCTAGCTATCCATACACACACACACACAAATAAAAAATGTCTATGTGTAAACACACACACTATGCACACACACACACACACACACACACACACACACACAAATGCCCTGTGCCTCTGGATAACCCTAACTAATTATACCATGTGAAAAAGACAGATCTATAAGCCAATGAATGTGGCCTCAGAAGATGCTTAGAAGAAGCGTCAAACCTGTTGACGCTTGTAGCTCTGGAACTGGTGAGAAAATCAATTTCTATTTTTTAAGCCACACATTCTGTGATATTTTATTGTGGAGGGCCTAGCCAAGTACAAAATATCTTCTAACCTTTAGTATCCAACTGTTCCCCAAGATGAAAGCAAAATAACAATAAAATATATTCCAAATACTTTTTTCTCCAAACACATTTGAAGGAGAAGCACGGGATAAAGGATTACTCAAGGTACTCTACCTCTCACCTTTTCTTTTCTTTTCATCAATTCTACATCTACTCCAAATTTTGACAAAGAATTGTGTTGTTGAGACCCAATACCATTTAGCTAAACACACACACACACACATACACACACAAACACATACACACACACACACACACACACACACAATCCAAAGGCTAGGGGAGGAGCTTGGTTGGTAAACTGCTAGCCTCAGAAGACCTGAGTGTCCATGTGAAAAGGTGGGCTAAGTGAGAAGTCAGGGGCAGAAGAATGGCTGGGGCTTGCTGACCTGCCAGTCTAGTCAGTTGGTGTCTACAGGTTCAGAGAGAGACCCTGTCTCAAAAAGTATGGTGGAGGGTAATTGAGGAAGGCATCTGATGTCAGCCTCTGGCTTCCACATAAACATGCACAGATGTGCATCTGCACACACATGTGCACCTGAACATTCCACTGGAACACACACATTGCTGGCTATGCAAACATATACATACACACACAAAACCCACAATTGATTTTATCATTAGACTGCTGAATAAGACATTGTAGTTAGGTTCCACCTATAGCAATATATATTTTTCTTCGAGTTTTCAAAAACACACAATTATGTGCATAGAGAACAATATTCATTAACCTCTTTGGTACATCTGGTGAACAGTGCCTGGTTATTTCGAATAAGCACCAAGATAACCAACAACAGCCTCTATGAATATATTGCTAATAGGAGTATCATTTCCTCAGATCATAATTGGCATTAGCTATAATGATTGCACTATTGAATAGTCCATCTCATATATTATAGTATTTTCTTAGAAAATACATTTGATGACTAGAAGAAAAATAAAATGCAACCAAATTTTACATTTAGTAATTAAGTATAATTAATTCACTCAAATCCTATTTAACCAAAGGAAAAATATAAATCATGTTGGTTAATCAAATATATTTACTCGGTAAGACAAGCACACAAATTCAAAGGCAGTGAAACATGTAAACAATTTAGCAGTTAACTGATGCTATGTTATTTTCAGACGCTGATGTTTCTTCTGTTCAGTCTGTTAGTTAAGGGAAAGCCATGGATCAAGAACTAATTATGGCCCAGAATGCAAAAGCAGCAAATCCCAGTTCCTCGGGGGTGATGGCTATCCCCATTGCTGGCTAAACCCTCCTTCAAATTTCTAAGTAGAGTTTGCGGAGACACTGAATGGGAGGTACTTCAGCCTTCCAATTTACAGAGGAAACTGCCTGCGATAACTCTTAGCCCTGACCTATTGGACGTGTTAGCCACCCGAAAACAGGAAAGAAGTCGCCCCTTTACGAGTGGTCTCTGTCTAAGTGTTGTAGCCTCTGCTGTCAGTTATCTTTTCCTGCGTTCTCGTGGGTCCATGCAAAGTCGGGGAAACAAAGAGCAAGACAGTCAGGCTAATTCTCACAGGGCCAGCTAATTAAAGATGGTGATGTGGACAGTTGCTTTAACAAGATTTATGAGAGAGAAAAAGTTTTTTAAGTGTACCTAAAGATACAGAGGTGAATTTTTAGGAAAATACAAAAATACTACACAGAATTTTCTAAAAGATAAATGCTAACCAATTTTACAAGTTTCTTTACTATGAAACTTCTTTATAAAATGCAATTTGAAAGCTGGGTGTGGTGGCACACACCTTTGATCCCAGCACTCTGGAGGCAGAGGGAAGCAGATCACTGTGAATTCAAGGCCAGCCTGGTCTACACAATGAGTTCTAGGCCAGATAGGGATACAGGGAGATCCTGTCTCAAAAAGACCAAAAAAAAAAAATGCAATTTGATGTGTGTGTGTGTGTGTGTGTGTGTGTGTATGTGTGTGTGTCCTTGAATCCATAGTAAATAACATACAGAAAGTTCCCATCACTCCTAAAAGGTTCTTTTTGTTACTTTTTTGAGACAGGGCATCACTATGCTGCCCTGGCAAGCCTGGAATTCTCTGTGTGGAATGGACTGACCTTGAATTCACAATGGTCTACTCGCTGGAGTGCTGGGATTAAAGATGTGTGCCACTATGCCTGGCTTATACAGACACTTTTGTAACTACGATTTTCCATGAGGTAATCTACTTTGTAGAAATGTATAAATCTTAAAATTGAATCAAGGAAAAAATAGAGTATATGAATAATCAAAAGAAAGAAAAAAACTTGAAAATTTAAAACCACCAAGCCCAGATTGTTTAGGTGATTTTTTTCAACTGAATCTTCAAAGGATGGGTAGGATTACCGGTTATAAAATCATTCTAGACACTAGGCAATAAATTTGTCTTAGTCATCCGTGAATAGTCTTGCCCCGATATCAGAATTAAATAAAAGCAGGGGAAGAAAACCCTGTGCGTGTAGGGAGACAATCCAGAGGTTGAGAGCTTGCCTAGAAAATAAAATCACACACCAAATTCACCTATTATCCTGAAGCTAAAAGTGCTTTAAAAACAGAAAAACAGGGATACAACAAATTGACACCACAGAAAATCAAAAGATCATTAGAGGTTATTATGAACAGTTATATACCAACACATTTGAAAATCCAGACGAGATGGAAAAACCCCGAAACACATACACCTTCCTTAGGCTGAATTACGAAGCAACAGAAAACTTGAAAAAATAAACAAGTAATGAGTTTAGATAAGCAATATCTCTGATAAAGGCTGGATATGGTGGCACAGGCCTGGTGCTGAAGAGGGAGAGGCTGGTGGGCATCTGTGAGCTCCTGGTCTTCCTGGTCTACCAGAAGTTTTTATTAACGCAGAGGCAGAAATCCTTATCGAAACACTAGCAAACTTAGTTCAAAAGAACATTAAAAAGATTGTTCACCTTAATCAAGTAGGATTCACCCCAGAAAGGCAACAACAGTTCAACATAAACAAATTGAGAAGTTATACGTTACATGAATAAGGCTCCAAATCACATGATCATGTCAACTGATGCACAAAAGGCATTTGATAAAATTCCAACAATGTTGAATTTTCATGATAAAAATGCTGAAAAAATTGGGTACAGAAGGAACATATCGCAACATAAGTAGGATCATTGATAATA